GATTCGAGAAGGACTAATTAAAGATAAATGGTGTATGACCCTCAACAACCTGTGAAAAAAGCCGAGTCATTCAGGGCAGACAGACGGACAGAGAGGCAGACAGACATGGGAGGCGCGTGAGGACTTGTGTGACAACGATTGTGGGTAATTTGCTGAGCGCTGCCACAGTCTACTGTGCTCATTTGCATGTCTGTGTGAAGCCCACTTCCTGAAATTGCAGACAAGCTTCTCCTCCCAAGTAGTGGCTTCTTTGGCTGAAGGCTTTCCTTACCTCCTGCCAGTCCCGAAAAGCTTAGATAAACTTATCTCTGGTGTGTCTTCGAGGGGCAGATGACATGTGCACGCACAGGAGAGTAAGCTGAGCCTCTGGGACGCCTGCCGAGGAGGGAGGGTTAGCCCAGGACTTCTCATTAACCACGAGCAAGATATCGCTAGATAAGTTAAACAAAATCAGACTCTGGAAACACTTTAGTAACAGGAGCGATGCTATCTGCATCGGTTAATGGCCCAAGTGAGCGAGAGCAGGTAAGTGGAAGGCTTGAGCTTTTCCTGCACATTGCCAAAACAGGAAAGTGCCAAAGCTCGCCACTGCCTCGGGACAACAAACAACCTTCTGAGGGGAAGTTGCATGACTCACACTCATCTCAGACATTCTTCATGGTTCTGCATCAAAAGCTGAATAAAAAAGAACTGCGCAACCTGGAAATGAAGAACATGAATAATAAGACAGACAATGTGGAAAACAAAAGTAAAAGCAAACTTCAAGCGTTTCTTAGAAATGCTTTACCCAAAAGTAGAGGTTTCAGAAATGATTGTTAGGCAGACACTAAATAGTACCAGAATGAATGTGTTGGGTGGTGCTTTTTGTACTGTTGAGTTTCTATGTCTGCTAACATCTAATCTTTCTGCTTTGTCTGAGTATTGCAAAATCGCAAAGGGCCTCACTGGCAAACAGGTTTTTCTTCACAGTAGTGAATCTGAGATAAGGTTATTGATTCATTTGATAAAATGTAATGTCACCACTTATCACTACATAGCATCTAAACATCATTGCACAGGCCTGCGGGATACAAGAGTTCACATGGCCTTTCAAAGACGACTGATTCCTCTCAGCTCCTACACTGTTATTTATGATGTAACACAACGCACTTGTTTAATTAGCAAGCAAATGCTGTTATCTTTTTGGTCCATGTACTTTGTTGAAGAACGGCACTCCAGGGCAAAATATTCCCCTATGCTTACACATTTGGGTTTGCCCTACTTATCCCTAACCCCCATTAAGGCTTAATAGCCATAGTTTCTTTTTTTAGAATATCACACTCTCGCATAGTAGACACTAAGCACCGTTTCTGACTTTCGGCACAAATTTAGGCAGACATGACACAGATAATTTCCAGTGTAGCTCAAAGTTTTGCCAAGGCCGTTGCTCACAGCTAATAAATTACTCATTGGTTTGCTTTGAATACATCAGTATATGGGGGAGTAATACATCAATGTAAAGTGTTAAATATACATTCTTAGACAATTATTAATTATTTAAGGTAATTTTTAATTTACAACATATTCAGTGGGTCACTGTGACCTTTTTTTCAGTGAAATATCAGAGCAGAAACAGCGGAAACACTGCTCACATTCACATGTTCTGTGCTTCTGCTCTCATTGTTGCAGTTATTATTTACACGTACCACAAACATGCTTAGCATATATTTTCATTGCTCTTTTGAATTCACTGTTTTTGTAATGTCATGAAAACCAACACATTTCATATGTCCACCTATTCAGCCTAGCGCAGTTTAACCCCAACCATTAACACTGGAGTGTTTTTTTAAATGAGGCACAGTATAGGGCTGCCAATCAGATTAGAGCTCATTTACATATGTCAGTCTTAAAGGTACAGAAACAAAAACAGCCTGTTTAATTCTAGCTGTTTCGGAACATAAATCCACTCAAAATGGAGAAAAAAAGTAGAGTATGGGAATATTTAATTGTGTTTGTGTGGTCCTCTTTTTTGTACTGTTTAAACTTATTGATGGATGAAGTATCCAATAATTAGTGTCTCCATGTCAATGCCTATCAAACATGAACCTGTTTTTGAGTGCTGAAATTATGTAAACAATTTTTGTGTACTTGATTGAGGGTTTACTTCAGGCTCATAACTGGTAAGTTGAACGTTCGGCTAGTGCCCCTCCTAGTCCACAGCCCAGTCCAACTGGGGACGACACACCGAAGTGGCTGATATCCAGATGGCTGCCCAATCAGTGGTGATGGGGGATTTTTTTTTACCCCGTTACGCCCACCAAAAATAAGGACGGCAGATAGCGTATCCAACCATCCATGGCCTCCACTGGCCTGGCTCCATCGGCCAGGCATTACCGTTTGTATTTGTGTTTGTGCTGCTGGCTAAGGGTACACAGTCCATGGACAGACAAACATTGGCTTTCGCAATATGTAAAGGACACTGTTTCCTGCTGATGACCCCACTGCCCCCAACACTCCCCTGCCCCCTTTAGTCGATAGCCTATGTTTTAAAGCACAAGCGTTTTTGGGTAGCAAGAAGAAGGGGATGGGGCCACTGCTCAGTGTGCAAACCCTGTATCCAAGGCCTAGGAGGCCCAGACGGAGATTAAACAATAGGCAGTCATCAATCTCTGTCACCATATATGGATGAAGGGGAGTTAGAGGTTTCAGGAGGTCAGGCTCTTTGTCCCGTCCTGATGAATATATGCAGAAGGCACAAGACCGATGACTTGGGAGTAGTGCTGGGTGATACCTCATCTATACTGGTGCACCATAATACTGACTCACCATGATATTGCTTCAGTTTTACTGATTCGTATTTATCCATTGGTAGATGATGAACACTATGTCCATGATATAATGTCCGTAAAGCAGCAGAGCCTCTGTTGCCAAGCAATTTTATTTTTTTTTTATTTCGTGCTCTTTAATCACGGTATTCAGGACCCCGCAGCTAAGTGCAATGTATGACATTTACTGAGTGCTTCTGATAGTTTTGGTATCCATTAAAATTAAATAAACAACATGTGTCCTTTCTGAAACCGTGTTTCTGTCTCATTAAAATTTCCAACACTGTTTAATCTTCCATTTAGTTATACAGGAAGCAGAAAAGAAAGTTGACCAACATGAGCTAATCTGGTTTGTAGATGTTATTTTAGTATACCATACCAGTGCTCAGAAAGTGTGGGATCATATTAATGCCAACTGAAATTGTATCAGATACCATGATATACTTGGAGAATATCATGATACTGAATTGTATTAAGTATTACTTAGGAGCCACATGAAGACCTAATCCTGTCTAAGCCTCAGCAAATGTCATCTTTGTATGTTTCAGGGTAAGGCAAGAGCCTTTTGGTTTTTTAGGCCTACCTTTAAACCTTGACTTTTTTTCTTTTCCACCCACCTGATAGATCTACATCTATGAATGTATTCATTTATTCTACGTCACTGAATTGTGTGGGAGTATTAAGTCAAGGTGAATGGACTTGAGATATAATCTATAATCTCTTTTGTGATTATTCTGCAGAAGTATCCAGCAGCCTTGATTTACTATTACCATCTACCTAACATCAGCCATAGTTTTTCACATTTTCATTTGCAGACCTGCCCAGCCAACCTGCTCTTTGTCTTGTAATATTTCACTCTGCATCTTCACCCCATTGCCTGTGGCTTTCCCCATAGAAATGTGAGTGCTCTAGCTGATTTTCTACATGTACCACCATAATTACTTCATAATACATAATTACATGATAGCAAACGCTATTCACTTCGCTATGAAATTATAGTATCGAGTTTACGTTCCACTTTGAGTTCAGTCACTGCTCAGACTTGTTCACGCTGAGGCAGTGGATGGCATTCAAAAGTAATTTAACAAAATGAAGATTTGCATAAAAATATGGATTACTGCTCCTGCCAGGTAGGGGAGAAACAAAAATCCCCTGTTTTTCTCTCCTGCTCTGTTTCTGGTAGTACGTCAAAACTTTGTTGTTTTACTTTATCAAAAGTTTGAATGTTTCTCTCAGAAAATTATACAGTAAGTCACATTCTCAATAATTCTTTAGGTCATCATTTTTGACATAAAAAGTCAAAGAAAATAGGTCATTTTCTGAGACACAAGTCTCCTGTTTTTCTATCCTTCTCTGTTTCTGCCAGTAGTATGTGAAAAGTCATACTACTCATACTGTCTCAGAAAATGACCTATTTTCTTTGACTTATTATGTCAAAAATAAGCATTCTTGAGAGTTTGACTTACTATGTCAAATATTTACTCTGAATTTCAGGCAATGATTTATTTTCTCTAAACTCTGTCATGTTATGTCGACACAGTTGCTTAATTTCTAGAGAACGTGATTTACTGTGTCAAAAAATTGACTCCGGAGTGCAGGCAGTGACTTATCTCTGAATTTTATGATATCAAAATAATGACTTATTTTTTTCTAAACCTTGACTTATGTCGAAGGAACTACTTATTGTCTTCATACTTTGACTTATGTTGAAATATAGACTGGTCTATAAACTTTGAGTTATTATGTCGAAATAAGGACTTATTTTATCAACAAGCTGACTTACTATGTTGAAATAATGACTTTTACATTCTAAGTCAGAATTTCAACACGAGTCAAGATTTTGACATAATATGTCACAAATTAGGGATAAATAAGCCTTTATTTTGACATAAGTCGTAGAAAATAAGTCATTATGTTGAGATATACGTTTGACACATTACTGCCAAAAACAGAGGCGAAAAAAATATCCCTCCACCTGGCGGAGTGTAAAAATACTTAAAATTTAGTTTATAAAAAATCATCGTCTACTGGCTTTAGGCGACAGAGGAAAAGTGGGAGGAAAAGAAGTGTTTGCCAGCAGCAGCGATGTCTGCGGTGAGGGTTTTTTCCTCAGTCTGGGCGGGGTGTGGCGGTCCCAGCCTATCACACGCTCTCCTCTCTCTCTACACACACACACACACACACATTGACTCTAGCTGGAGAGAAGTTGTACGTGTGTGAGAGAGAGAGAGAGAGAGAGAGAGAGAGTGTGTGTGACAACCAGGCAGTCTAGAATAAGTCCGATCCAAGGATGGATGCAATACCCTGTTGTCTCCTGTTTCTAGTCCTGTTCTTTGGAACTAGGATTCGCGAATCTGAAGGTAAACCGCCGCTGTGCTGTAGTTTAAACTCCCTGTCTTGTTTTTGTCCGTGAAGTTTGGCTGTCGGAGAGTCCGCTGTTTTGCTCTTTGTTTCAAGGAGCTCCGGCCCCAAAGACTCTTTTCAAAGATGGCGCAGGTCAGACAGAGAGAGAGCCGTGCTTTCAGAGGAATGTTTATTGTTTTTTCCCTCTCCTTTGGAGTAGAGAGGGGGGTTGTGCTCGAAAGAAACAGGACGGAGAGAAAAGCAGCCTGAACCGAAAGTCAAGTCGTGTCTCGTTGGGTCTCGGCGTGGTCAGAGAATGTAAAGCGCTTATAACACTAAGCAGTGTAACGCTGAGTGAGAGAGAGAGAGAGTTGGGGGTCTGATTAACGCTCTCACAGTCCAACAAAAGTTCACAATCCCACGCAGTTGAGGTGTATTAAGCTAGCTAACCTAGCTGGCTAATTATCCGAGTTTAGGGTCGCCTTTTTTTCTCTGGGGTCGGCGATACGAGCACCGACAGAGCTCGCCGTTAAAAGAGTGGCTAATCCGTCCTGCCGTGTGGTAATGTTATTAAACAGTTACTAAGCGATGTTGAGATTTATAAGCCGACAGTGGCTTTCAAATAATAACGTTACGTGTCGACATGTCGCTAAATCTTTAGTCAACTGACTCCGAAGTTTACATCTGGGCAACTCCTACTGGAGTCAGTCAAAAATAACGTTTTTAACGGGTAACTCCTCGCAGATCTTGCTCGACTAACGTTAGTAACACACAGAACAGACCGAGTAACTACACTGTTACTACCGCTAGCTTGCTGGCTAATCAAGTAAAGGATTTTGTTGGCATTTAACGTTAGCTGTACAGCTTTTCTAGCCAGCTAGCGGGGTGTTGTTTAACTAACGTTAGCTTTGCTACTTTCGGTTAGCTAGCTAGCCGCCTATAGAAGGATGTAATATGTTTAGCTGGTTAGTTAGCACATTTGTAACAGTGAGACTTTAACAGTCTACTCGTCGCTAGCTAACGTTAACCGTTACCTAGCTAGCCACTTTGTCAGCTCAGGTGCCGTCAGCGATGTTAAATTTTGTTATTAATGTTGATATTACAACTGCTACCTGTTATTTCTTGGGAGGAACTTAACGGGCTGTTTACCGATCAAGCAGCGCGGATACATAATATTAACCACCACCCCACGTCGTTTTCTTTAACCAAACTTAGCTAACCTAACCTAGCAAAGCTTGATTAGCTGACTAACGTTAGTTGAGACAAAACATTAACGTTACTATCAGTTTGTCTGTCTGGCTAGCTGGCTTTGTCTTGCTTTGCAGATACTGGTTATCCATCTGATTCTCTCACAACACTCCAAGATTTACTTTTCCAGCGGTCTGTAAGACACTCGTTGTGTCTGGGTAAACGTGTTTGTTGATGGTTATCTGAAAAGTCATCCGTTCACAACCCAGTCATAAGCGCTCAGCTGTGGGAATCCACGACTCGTTCTCTTCAGAAATGTTAAATGCAGCTGTTTACCCCGCCAGAAGTTGGTGCTTATGTTGAGCGTAAGGTCAAAACCTCTCTTTTATATCAGCTCTTCTTCTACTGGCCCTCATTCCTCTCGGTAATTTGTTGTTTTGCCCCGTTTGCTCTCCTTTCTGATTTCTAACACTGTTGATTGCTACAATATCATATTTAGTTTTTTATCTGGCATACCCATCAGTACAGCTATTGTGCTGTAACCTTATCTCACACCGTAAGCCCAGAGAGCTGTTGATGCAGTATTTTAACAACATTTAGGAGCTGGTTTGCTGAAATAAAGTGTCTTTGTATGTAGAAAATTGGATTTACCAGCACAGGCTGTAGAAAGGTGACAAAGGACGTCTACATGGCAGCTCACATAGGCAGCATTCGGCTCAAAATGCAGAGTAAGAGCGTACACCGTGAACTAATATATGTACACAGAACATATTTAAATGGTACTGTTTGCCACAGAACAGGGCAAAAACTAATTTTGTCCTTTAACTAAGCAAACAGCTGTGAAGATTGACTGCTCATAGATTTTCCAGGACTGTGGTCAGTAGTAAATATGATCTATTTTATATGATACATTTTTTATGTAGAGTTACGGTGATGCAGTGGAAAAAAAGCACTGTTGGATGTAAATTGATAAAATTCATCTGACAGACCATTGATTCTTTTTCTTTCTTTGTTCTTTTTTCCAAATAAATTGTGCAACTTCTGCAGCTCAGAAATACGAAACATATTGCGTAGGATATGCATGACTAAAACCGTCCTTGAAACATGTTTTTGTCTCTGTGCTGAAGTGTTGCTTATTAGTAGGCTAGAAACTATGTTTGACTTAAGATTCAAGAGACAACATTAAAAGCTGTTTGAAGTTTTGTTTTTGGTTGTTTTCTGAGTAACCTTGCCAGTCCAGTAAACACTTTAAACGTGTTTGTAATGTTGGCCAGACTGCAGAACACACGAGCTAGGCCTAAACCTTTGTGTCCCGCTGAGGATGTACGCTACATTCATATCCACGGACACTCTGGGGAGCAAGATCTGAGCCAGGGTTCAGAATGAGGCCCCAAGAAAGGGCTGTGAAAGCCCCCTCAACAAAGTTAGCACTCGATACGCAGCAAATACAGTAATTTTGCTTTTTCTGACACAGGAATCTGAAGCATTTCTGTGACCCCAAACTGCCTGTTGTCCTGGCTTAAGGAACCAAAACTAATTTGAGAAATTGTGTTTGTGCCAGCTGTGATTGAATTCAGGGGCATTGATGCGTTCAAACAGCCTTGCTTTTGGCAGGACTGAGAATTTTGCTGCGACTGTGGCTTTTTTTAAATAAAAAAATTGGCCTTAGTGTAAGTGTTGAGGGGTCCAGAGTCTTGTTCTTGTCCCCATTCCATCTCCAAATGTAAATTTACAGTAGGTGTGCTCTGTAGGGATGCACTGATATGGGAGTTGTGTGCTGATGGCAATATCTGAAATTGTATGTACATCTGAAAATGTATGTATATTACTGTTGATGACATTACCTCATCTACTTATATAAGCAACACAGAGAAATATAACAGATATTTCTGTAGGGATACAGATGCAGTAAAATAGAAGTAAAATGCAGACGTTTAGCACAGAATCCTCGTGTCGCCTGCTTCTCTACTGGAGTAAAATAAATATATGATCAAATATCAGTTTGGAGTATTGTTTGAAGTAATTAAGCAACACTTGTACTCAAAAATTTTGAAAGCATCAGTTTGTCTAGTGATATGTTGATGTGAACTGCTTTACGTGCTTTTTTCTCGTGTATAAAACTGTTCCTGTACTGCATCAATAAAGCCCAGACTGGAGTCTCTTTTTTCCTTGTTACATCTGCACGTCTGCCAGGGAGGATGTCCACCCTCTCACGGCAAGAATCTGTTTCCTTTATCCCACAATGAAGTTAAGGCCATAACGAGGACGTCCCACAGACCACAGCTGTCATTTTTCTCTCTCCACGTGAACCAGCTTGGCGCCTGGACGAGTCGTACCTGTTTGAGGGATCATATCACTTCTCAGCTCATAATACTTCAGCTGCACTCAGACTGCGGTGTCTGTGGTTTTAAAGACGAGATTGCGCTGTGATTAATGGGCTCCGTTTCTCGATTGAATCCAGTTCCAAATTGCAACTTGCACTATCGACATCGTAGCATGAAAAACACACACCAGTCCCAGTGCGTGTTCAGCGTCTCAGTATTATCCACAGCTGATAATGAATGAAGATATGATGAAGAATATGTTTTGATGTGTGCGCTTTACATTCCAATGGTCTTTCCTCACATTCAGAGACGTGCTTTCCTCTTAGGCCATTTGGTTTATTGGCTCCTTTGCGAAGGAATGTTGCAGGTTTTACTACCCACACCTCCTCCCTCTTACAACTGGCTTCATCAAACAGAAGATGTGCTTCTCCATTCAGCCAAAGCAGGAGGCAGTTTTACGATTCCTTGTGTGTCTCAGAGCCTTCTTGGTGCTCTGAGTATTTATAAAAAAGGCTTGTCATGTGTTCTGACTCCCTAGCAATTAGCACCGCCTGAAGCCACAAGAGTAGTGGAAAAAGTTGGCACTTAAGTAAGCGTTCAGTTCAATGTACTCTTATTGCTCTTTTCTCTCCCAGGGCTCATTAGCTTGTCAGGGTGTTGCACACTGCACAGTGTACCTGATAAGTCTGTTTCGGAGCGCCACTGTCAATGTTACTGCGGTTTGCTAAAAAAGAGACCTTCCTCGGACTGACATTTGCACAGAATGTGCTGCACCTTCTGTCTGACAGCGAGGTAGCACTGATGTCCCCAGAAAGTATGTAGTCTTGTTGATGCCATTCATGCTAAACTGTGAAACTACACCCTGAAGTGGCTGGGCCATAGCTGTCTGTCGGACAGGCTTCGCGGTATTGACGGCTGTTGCCATCCACAGGAAACAGGGTTGTTATCAGCCAGCTATTCTATCCAATTCTTTCCTGCTCTACCACAAACCTGTCATCATGTACTGTAGTTGTCTGATTCACTCCTCTTGCACATATCTCAGAATAATCCAGTTCCTCCTGTTGAATTTCCTGTCCTGCTTTTGTTAAAGCCCCATCTCGGAGCCGTTCATTTTTATGATAATAGCCTATAGATTCGCTAAAGAAATGTCAGAGACTAACAGAGTCAGGTTGATATCTGTGCCACTGTAGCTCCTCTGCAACTCTCTGCTGAACAGCTGCTGTCTTCAGGAGCCACTTCTCTTAAATAAACCTGATCACATATTCATAAGGTAGGGACTCGTTAAGCCATCGCCATGTTTGGAAAGTAAGCTCATAGGGAATTGTGTACAGACTCCCTGTTGGTAAAGCTTTATGTCGCAGAAAATTCTGACCTTTGCCGACTGAAAGCAGTGAATCAGAAATCATATTTACGGCTCTGTTGACGACTTTTCACCCGTCTTGTGTACGACATCTGTAGATAGGTCAAAGACGGTTATTTGTGAAGGATATTTTGGACGAAACTAG